ATATAATTATACATACATATATATAATTAGACAAAATTATTAAACGCACAGTAGTTTTTTAAGAGTGGCATGTTTTGCGCGAATTTATGTGCAATACTTTTATATTTAAACATACATGTAAAGGAATTTTATTCAGGAGATTTTTTTATATACTTCCCATATGTTTAATATTTTTGTTAACATATTGGATTTCAAAAACGTGAAATTACAAATCGCGATATTGAATTTCAAGCACGCGAAAAAAATACTAATCGCAATATTGGATTTCTAGAACGGGCAGAAAATACAAAGATCTTTCTTTTCATTTTTTTTTTGTGTTCCTACTTTTTAATATATATATTTTAAATGTTTTTAATTTAACTATTTTTTTTCCTTCTCAATTTCAATAGTCTTTAATATTTTCCATGTTTTCTCTGAATTAATATATATATACATAGCCGCCCAGGTGACCGAGTGGTCAGCGTGTCTGACTGCGGAGCTGTTGGTCGCTGGTTCGAATCCTGCTCAGGGCACGGATGTTTCTTTCTCTCTCTGTGTTCTATGTCCTTTCCTCTTTGTGTGAATGTGACCCGCCCTATAAACATTTGCATTTTTGCATTTCTGTGGCCGATGGGACAAACCCAAAGTGCCCGCCATTAAAAAAAAATATATATATATAAATATATAGTATATATATATATGAGATACTTCCACGGTCATAATTGTTTTTACGTGATAAGACCCACAATAAAATATCTGATAAGAACAAAACTGTCTCTTTTTTTTTAAAATCCAAAAACAGATGCCCCGATATAAAAGAACTGAATTTGACGAAGAAGAAACAAGCAGCATGGCTAGTATGGCAGTGGACGCCCCCATGGTCATCAACTCTAATCCGGTCGGCAGCAGTGTCCAGGTTCGGTACTCCCCAGGCAGGAAGCGCAATTTGTGGGAGAGAGCCTCCCCTCTCGAGAAAGTCCTCATGATCAGCGTCCTCGTTCTGGTCCTCCTAGTCATCATCCTCTCATGCATTCTCGATTCTTATTCGGGACTTCCCACCGTCAAAGTGGTTCACATCTCTGCCGTCAATGGATCAACGGCAATCGTCAAATCAAACGGTGAGAATTTTATATATTATTATTATTTTTTTATATTTCTTTTGTATTATTTATTTATTTTTCATATTATTTATATTGTTTATTATTTTTAATATTATTTATTTCTCTTGTATTATTTGCAATTTATTTATTTATTATATTACTTATTTTTTTTAATTATTATTCTATTTTATTTTATTATTCTATTTTATTTATTTAAATTTTATATTTTATTTTATTTTATTATGTTTAAAATTATTTATTTCTTTTGCATTATTTGTTATTTCTTTATTTTTTTCTATTTTTTATATTATTATTATATTTTATTTTATTTATTTATATTTACTTTATGTTTTATTTGATAACCGTCGTTGAACAGCTGACCCGGATTTTGGGTTTTGTTCAGCTCGGTAGCATTGTAGTTTTGAACCCAATCCAGATGACGAGGGAACTCCTGGATCAAGTATTGGGCGAAAATTACTTTAGTGAAGGATTTTTTGATGGAAATAACCCTAATTTGCGTTACATGGAGATGAAAAACCGCAAAAACCTCCCACAGTTAGCTTGACGGCAAGGGGACTCTGACCTATGATCCGTCAACCACTGAGTATATTTTACGCCTGCACTGTTGAAAGCCGAATGCGGAATTCTTATCCACCAGCCATTGCGGGGATTTGAACCTAACCCCTGAGCCATCATGGCTCAAACGGTAAGATTGAAAGTATTTTCATCGGGTTATTTTTGTAAATGGATGGTGTTTTCCATATAACTGTAAACAAAAGCAATCTCGAGCTCTTGACCTGCTCTTCTTCCGGTTAAAAGGTATACAGCTGATTACTATCCCCTTGCCGTCAGGCTTAACATGGGAGGATTTTGTGGTTTTCCTCTCCATGTAATGCGAGCTAGTGAGTTCCATCAAAAAGTTATCCATGAAGGCAAATTTCTCCCAATACTTGATCCAGGTGTTCCCTTGTCTTCTGGATTGGTTCACAAAGACAAGGGTACGGAGTTGAACATGAGTAGTGGTAAAGCGTGTCGGTTAGAAAATTTAATAAAAAAAGATAGTGTATGAGCACACATATCTAATAATGAATTCATGCTGTTTCAGTCACTGGTTATTGCGTGACACCGGCTTGCGTGACTGTTGCTGCAGCCATCCTGAATGCCATGGACCAATCAGTGGATCCCTGCACTGACTTCTATCAGTACTCATGCGGGGGATGGATGAAATCGAATCCTCTGCCAGATGGAAAATCCATTTGGGGTACATTCGGAAAACTATGGCAGGAAAATCAGATCGTCATGAAAAACATTCTAGGTAAGTTTCTCTCTTTATTTGTGGGGCAAAACTATATAGTTTTCCCAAGTCAACATTTTTGATGGTTTTCCATGGATGGACCGACATAGTCTTGATGGCAACTATCAATAATTCCATCATGAACCATTATATTTCTGGATAGTAACCAACATAAGTAACCATCACCTCAATGTAGGAATTCGGACTGTTTAACGATGGTCCAACACAAGAATGGCAACTTGTTTTGATGGTTTGTTCTTGTTGAACCATCAGAAATTTCCATCATAGTTTGTTAAAAATCAAATGTTGGAACGATCATGAACAACCGTCATCCCAGAGTATTAATTCATGATGGTCCAACATAAGAAAAGGAATGGGTTTGATGGTATATTCCTGCTGAACCAACAATAATTATTATTAAACCATCAAGAAAAAGAATAGTTTGAACCATCATGGATCATCTAGCATTTTTTGTCCATGCGAGTCAAACTTCTCTTAATGGTTAACCATCATAGTGTATTAAAGTAGCATTTACCATCATGGAATGATCGAAGTTATTGCTAGCATATCGAACACTATGAACACAGAACGGAAAATGATGGATGATGTCGGACCATCATGAATAGCACTGAAACCATCAAGAATTTTGAGGCGTGTAGTTAGGAAAGTGTACAATTTAATGTTTTCTTTTTTCTCTCAGAAGATGATAGTTTCAATTTGAAGAGCGATGCTGAGAAGAAAGCTAGAATTTATTATACTTCATGCCTCGATAAGAATGAAACAGTTGACAAATTGGGGGCTCAACCCATGCTCGATCTCTTGAAAGAAGTGAGTTCTTCTTCTATGGTTTGCTTCTATAAATAATAATTCTTTTTTTTTGCCTACCTTTATATTCACTTTAGATATCTAATTTAAATCATTTTTGAATTGAATATCATTCATTTAATTCATTTAATTAAATGAATGATATTTTCAGTAATCGCAGCTCCCTTCGTCCCTGTTTAT